TGGCCTTCACCACAGCCCGTTTTAACGGCCTCCCTTTTGCTGTCTTGGAAAGAAAATATAAGATGCTGCCTTATGAGAATCAGACATGTTTATATTCTGAAACTTCGACTGAATCATTTGTACACATCATATTGTACTGCCCATTCTATCAAGGTGTGTGCTGCTCTTTATTTAATCTACACAATTTTACAGAAATTCCCAAGAAGACCATCTGATTATTACTTGACATTACTGCTGGAAGACTCTCACATAACTGAGATCATGACTCGCTTCTGTGCAGCTGCCATTACTACGTGAAGACAGATTACCCAGGGCCAGATCTAATATTAAATGTTGAAAATAGGATGCTAAAAGATAAGTCCCTGCAATCCAGTGTGTGATATGCTGCCTGTCTATATGTACATTTGTATTTTAGCTGATTTTACTTAAATGTACTAGTACGTTTGTAGGTTTGTTTCTACTAGTTAATACTTGTACATTTTTTAAGATACTTTTGACAAATACCATAAATAAAATTGTATGTATTGCATTGTCTGTTCTCACCTTCTCTTTCCCTGAAGAAGGGATTCTTCAGCTCATGTAGTTGTTGGTTGCACATCTTCAAGCAAGTTAATGTGGTAATCGTATTGGGACATGTGTAATGCTAAACAAAACATCCTGTCAAATCCTGCCAGTATTTTTAAAACAGTGGAGAAATTGTGTATTTTAACATCTAAATTGCTTGAGCTAAGCTAAGAGTGTTCAGATCACTTTGTTACTATTGTAAAGTTGAAAAATATACTGCGTTTGTTGTACCATGGAAAGTAAAAATATGACATTGGTCTTACTACATTTACTGTTAGGCTGAAAATTTTATTTATATAGGACTATATTTGGCATCGTTCTGGCATCCAACCATTAGTGCAACTGAATTTTTCCCCTCCTTCCCCAACCATAGTTCTTCACACAATTAGCTTTGGTGGCTTTCCTTGCCCTCTGGAACAAGAATTAAGTCCATACGGGCTGCAGTGGAGGGAAGGAAATATCTATTCTCATTTTGCTGATGAAAGTAGTGGAAGTATTCACCTGGATTGTGCCCAAAATTCAGTGAAATTTAATGTATAATGTGAGCTCTTGTTTTATTGATGTGACTACAAGCGTCACAACACAACTGGCTCATTTTCAAATATAGACTACATGATGTACAAAATCAGTCCAGCTTTACATTCCTATTCTGTCAGTGGACTTGTCTTTGGAGATTGGCATAACAGCATGTAAACTCAATAACAGATTTTACTTTACAGATTTTTGTATGTTTATAGCTTACATAACCACCTCTTTAGGGGAAATGACTGCATTGCTCCTGAGACAAAAATAGACCTGGCTGGTATATTCCAAGCACCTTTACCCCCTCTTCTTCTGTTTCCCCCCCACTGTCTGTTTTCTAACAAACATTGCCTCTTCAGCCATGTATAAAAACAGCTAGCATGCAATCACAGGCCTGTAGTGGGGAACAGAAGATCATATAATTCAATCTGCAGCCCTGGCAGGGACCTCAAAACATTCAGCATGTAGTGCATCATCAGGCCCTTGACGATTAATCTGTCTTTGTGGCACATCTGTTAACAGACCACAAAGTACAACAGTGAAAAAGATGCCTGACTTCAGACTTCAGTTTGAACGTTGGCTTTCTTGTCTGCCTAGATACATTAGTAGGATTTCAGAAGTATACCATAATTAAAACTTTTCTGATTTGCTCTTAGAGCAGTAGCTTGTATTTATATAGGGGCTCTTCAGATACAGTATTCTTTCTATCAACAAAGAAAAGTTGAATATTGAAGTAAGGTCCAAAACATACTGCAGAAATAATCCAGTTTGAGACCGTTTTAACTGTCCTGGCTCAGTGCTAGGGAATCATGGGAATTGTATTTTTTTTCTGAGACATTGAGCCTTCTCTGTCAGAGAGCTCTGGTGCCACAATAAACTACAGTTCCCAGGATTCCCTAGCACTGAGCCAGGGCAGTTAAAGCAATCTCACGCTGGATTATTTTTCTGCAGTGTGGTTTGAACCTAAGTGAACTAGTATAGAATAGAATAGAAAGAATAGAATAGAATCTTTATTACGGTCATAGACCAGCACAGATAAAAAGGGAGATACAGAATAAAACAAGGTAAAATCACAGTTTAAAAACAGTATTTAAAGTATCCTTTTAAAGTATAGCAAGACAAGATTTATAGTAGTCTACTGTGGAGATCATTGTCTTCACACTAAGCAAACATGTACTTTTATTCTGGAACAATATAATGGAGACCCTGAATATAGTTCCTTGTGAGTCTCAGGAGTGGTGACATTTAAATAGTTGCTGGCCCTTAAAATTTTGACTTGCATTATAGAACATGATGGAAACGTTTGGTGGCTTGTTCACACTAGAAACTATGCAAGTAGTTTGTAAGTACAGATTGATTCGGTGTGCTGGTTCTCCAGTCCTGCCAAATGTTTACTGTTTGGGAGATAAACACACTACAGAAATAACCCAGTTTGAGACGCTTTAACTGCCCTGGACTCAATGCTAAGGAATTCTAGGAACTGTAGTATTGTGAGACATTTAGCCTTTTCTGTCAAAGAGCTCTGGTGCCACAATAAAGCATATTTCCCAGGATTCCCTAGCACTGAGCCAGGGAAGATAAAGTTATCTTAAATTGGATTATTTCTGCACTGTGTTTGGGACCACAGTTTTCTGACCAATGTGTTGTTTTGCTTGCATTTTGGCAAGATACAGGTACATCTAAGACCTGGGTCTCAGAATAGAACTATATAATGAATTGTGGCAAAGGGTCAGGTAATCGAATGCCAGTGTTGAAATCAGTTGGATAAGTATTTCGAATGGGACAGTGCTGTCTTTGTCAGATGGCTTTCTCAAATAGACTCTTAGTGTAAAACAGCTGTAAGTTCTTAATGCACAATCAAATGCCTTATCTTTCTATGGTTCGAGTACAAGTTTATGGGAGGTTCTTGAATGTGTTTGCTGTAAAGGCTAACACTGTCCATGAATACAGAATCCTATGTTGAAAATTACCATGTCACAGGTACAAATTGTTATGTGACTGTATTGAAAGATAAGAATGCTACTTGGTTTTTAAAAAATCTGTAGTATGAAGAACCTCTTTCACACTTACTAAATTTAGGAACTACTATTTTAAGAAAAGCTACTAATCATAATGCAGGCAAGTCATGTAATTCCTGCTTCTGAGTAGCATATTGTAAAGTCAGCACTTTTGAAATGTTTCAGTGTAACAAGAATAGAGACAATGTTGAATTTTCATCTTTCTTGGGAAAACAGAACTTCAACAATAATGAATGTGTGGTGTTGTGATGTTTGCTGTTGCTGTTTTGTAACTGTGTGTCATTTGCTTCACAGAAGGTTACTTTTGATTTGCACAGTAGTGAGAAAAAACTCATGACATGAGAGATTATAATGTAATTTGGCAGTTCAAAATTGGATGGATGGCTATTGGTACATCCTTTATGAACTCTTATCGTCACTAGCCTTTCTGTTACCTTTTGTATCGAGAGTTTGTAGAAACACTTAAGAGCAAAATTAGATGCCAAAGCTCAGTGGTAGAGCACACCAAAGGGCCTTACTTCAATCCCTGGCATCTCCAATTGAAAGGACATCAGGAAATGAAGTGGAAGGAATAGCCACCTCAGTTATTGGAGTTTATTGCTTTGGTCTGGTATTAGCCTCATATTAATCTTGTAGGGCAATTCAAGTTTCCTAAAGCTTCAGCCTTTGTTAAGGAAACAAAAATATTTAAATATCAAAAATATCAAAGCCAAGCTAGCTTTAAATGAGCAGAATAGTAGAAATGTGTCCTTGTCTAGCTATGCTTCTTTAAGAATTGAGACTGACTCCAAAGCAACATAAGTAGCTTGCCTTTTAACAAAAGTTTACTAATGGCTTGAATCTACATATGCATTGAGGCTATATGCTAACCTAGATAAATAAATAAATACATTAATACATTAATACTAATATTAATACTAATAAAGAAATATTTATCTCACCATCTGTCCAAAGAAAGTTGAGAGAGGAGGAGGATGGGGAACCCAACAGGGCAGGAGAAAATCTTTTGTGTGAAAGCACTTCCCAAAAGGGGGAGTGACCTTTATAGCATGGTTTGTTTATCAATTTGCAAAGTTATTGTGCTGTGATTCAGTAGGAGTAAAATGGGAGGTTTGGATGAGGGGAGAGACAGCAGGATTTGATAGCAGGAAAATCTATCTATATAAGGAGGGGTAGAGAATGCAAAAAATCTTCAGGGCTGGGAACTATGTGTTCTTCCAGAAGTCATTAGACTGCAAGTCCCTACATTCCTCACCATTGGTTGTACTGGCTACCTCTCCTGGGATTTATAGTACAACAACGTCTGGAGAACCATAAGATTCCAGCCTGATTTAAGCATTCCTGTCTCATTTTACATATTTTGAGACTGATTCAAAATGTGTGCTTATGAAACATTAGTTATGTTTGTTGCAGTACGGAGAAGCTTCGTCTTTTGGCAGCAGATATTTAATCATGAGGGGTGTGGTATCCGGTTTCATTTTAGCCGTTCAGGCCCTTTGATTTCTGTTGTAACTCTTTCAGGGTAAAGTCCTGAAGCATTATCTGTTTTATCTCCTTTCCTCTTACATATTATTAAAAGGGAAAAAGTTAAAATTAAGCTTTTGTGAAAATAATGTGTTGGTCCTGTGCTGATCTCATTGCTTAAACATGGAGATAAATGGCAGTTCTTCTCATCCCTTTATGGCCATACTTAATAAATACTTAATTTTAGAAAACATAGTCCATAGGTATTCTGCATATCTGGTTTACTGTCTAAATTGTTATTGCTGGCAGCTTCCTTATTGTTTCAGCTGCTAAATATATCTATGCTATATGTATGCATGTGTATACAGTATTTTTTATGACTGAAATAGATGTTGTTGGATTTGACAGTTCTTTGCCAGGTAGCCAAGTTATAGCAGTGTGGTGTAGTGGTTTGAGCATTAGACTATGAGTCTGGAGACCAGGGTTTGAATCTCTGCTCTACCATGGAACCCCAGTTGGTGAACTTGGGCAAGTCACATCTTCTCAGCCTCAGCAAATGGCAATCACAAACCCCCTCTGAAGAAACTTCCCAAGAAAACCCTGTGATAAGGTTGTCTTGGGGTTGCCCTATGTCTGAAACGATTTGAAGGCACACAAGAAGAAAGCTCTTTATACAGTGGTCCCTCCACATTTGTTGTGGTTTGGAGTGAAGGACCCCCACAAATGTGGAAAAACCGTGAATAAAAAACCACTATTCTTTTTACCTGACAGAACACCTCTCTAGGAATCTCCAGAAATTCCAGTGCAACTCTGTGGCCAATATCTGCTAGAAGTTGATCACAGAATCATGCTGGAGGATCTACAAAGGCCTAGAGAAGTGTTTTTTCTAGAAACTTGTAGGTTCTCCAGCACATCTCTATTATCAACCTCTGATAGAGTTGTGCTAAAGGACCTTATTCCTAGAGAGAACATAGGTATTAATCAAAACTGCAAATAACCAGATCCACAAATGTCAAAGTCACAAATGTGGAGGGTCAACTGGAATGTGATTTCAGAACATCCCAGCTTCTCCCCTTCCTTAAAAACAACAACAACCCAACAACTTTGTTTTAGTTGCTGCAGATTCTTGTTGTATTAATGTTCTATGTGTATTAATCATTTCAGCTCACAGACTTGAGTTTGGAATAAACCTTTTGTGAAGTGTGATTTAATAACTTAAGTATTTTTCAAAACCAAGCTCTCCATCTGCCTGGTAATAAAATATGTGCTGTCGTTTCTGTGTAAACAGTATGGCTCTGCAGTTTTGGCTTTGGCTTCTTCAAAATTACTTAAATAAATCCTGATCAAGATAGTTATTGACTGTCACTATAATTGGACATTTTTTAAAAAGCAAATCGAGCTATGTGTTTTGGCAAACAAATGGGAGCATTTCAGCAGAAGGTGTAATAGTTTCTGTTATCAAGAAATAAAATAGTAAAGGGTCCCTATATCTCTTGAAAGTATGATATATCTACAGTACTAATAGAGTGCTTTCCTCTTTCCAAAAGAATAGCACTGTTGTTCTGCTACAGCGAAACAAAAGAGTTGTGAGGCACCTTTAACACTAACACTAAGATTTATTAGAGAATGAGTAGCTAACAAATTCCACAACAGGATCTGTTTGACTCTTTACCCAAGAACAGCTTGGAGACTATATCAGAAATGCATTGCGAGGCTGTAGTTTACTTGTATGGACAAAATGCATTGTATGGAGGACATCTTCATGGATGTCAGTTCCAAACAGCAACTGCTGAATATTTGCTTTATATTTTGTCTCAGAAAAAGCCTTTTAAATTGCAACTGAAATGCAGCATTAAGTATATAACAAAAATGGTGCCACAACACAAGCTGTCTTATCACAAAAGTTGCAGAAAATAGAGGAAAATAAGGTGGTTGTTGTTGTTGTTTTTAAATGACTAACCTTTTGATGTAGGTGAAGTAGTGGACTCAGCCTCTTCAAATAATTGTCAAGGTTTTGGTGTTACAGCTGAGAATCTAAGCTATGCTCTAGTTACAAAGGGCGAGAGAATTCATAGTGGCATATGTGTTACATAAAATATGCTGGACCCAGGTTATATTCTTTCAGATAATTTTAGTGCCATGAAGAATGCCCTCAAACTGATAGGCAAGGAGTGCAACAAAATCTAGTGTGTTTTTGGTAACTCATTCCCAATAGTGCACATTCGTGATTTATACAGGTTGCTAATAGTTCTTAGAGAAGGATTATATACATTTGGACTTGAAAGGCCTAGATAGGAGAGTGAGACATCAGTGAGCATATTTTAATACTCATTATGCTGTACTTAATATATGTGTACAGAGATATAAAATTACCAGAGCTAGATTCTGAAAATGTTTGAAGTGGTTTCACATAATCACATAGCTAATTGTAACATTTTCATTTTCATATCTCTTATTTAGACAGAGTTAAATATTTTCCAGGAACTTTGATTATTGTATAAGTAGCAAACCTGATTTTGGAAGTCTTCCTCCTCCTCCTCCCACCAATATATTTTGTGATCAAAAATTGTTACCTACTTAAAAGCTTCCTAAAACAGGTAACTAGCAGACTTTGGGGGGAGGGGGAGAAGGTAACAAAAGTACTCATAACTTTACTTGGGCTCTTGTTATCATATTAATGTGGGTGTGTATGTTTTTTTTTTTATTGAGTATTTTAAAATCAATTATTAAAGACAACAAACTACAATAATACACATCCCATTGATATACACAAACATTAAACCTTATAACACCACAAACCTTAGACACTACACAAAAACATAGACAAAAAACAAAGACAAAAAATCACTGACAAGCAAACCAATACAAAAACAAACATATACTTATTACTACACAAATTTTAAAAGCCTTCCTCATATCACCAACTGATTGTGCTTATATATACTACTTGTTTCCTCTAGCAATACAATTAAAAATTACTATAATATGTTGCGTCTAATTCCACAGTCTCAATTAAATCCTCCTTCCCAAAATATACATTAATCTTACTCTGTTCCTACCCGATATTTATTTTAATCATAGTCTATACATACCAACAATTTCCT